CAGCATGATGAAAACCTGATTGATTAAATAAAAATGCACTAACATGTTCATGAGGAATATATCGGATATGAATACCAGGCCATACATCATTCATATGTGAAATACCATCATGTGTACAAGCAATAAACATAACATTAGGTATATTTGATTGAATTAGGCGTGAATAATTATGTAAAGATGTAAATTCATCCATAAGAAGACGCATCATATCTTTAATAAGATCGAGAACAATTTTATTTGAATCTATTGATCGATTTCGTTCACATAAATAATCATAAAATGTTTGAAAGGCTTTATGTTCATAGAATTGTCGAGAAGATGGATCAGGCCATCTAAAATATAAATATATACACAATGGCTACCAAAATTATTCAACTTTTACTCAATAAAAATCCGTCCTAGAGAATTCAAGTACTAGATACTGAGAAATTAGGCTTTTGGGTTGTCTAAAAAAATCCTAACTAAGGGAATCAAATAATCAATTTGTTTAATTTATATTCTTTTTGTAATATGGTTTGTTCTACTGGAATCATTATTTGAAATTATGATAGATACTGTATATCCATTCATTAAATAGATCAAATAATAGAATTGAATCTTACTTTGTAAATGCTAATGAAGCCATATGTCCACCAAGAGAAAAACCATGTAGAATAGCTGATGTTAATTTCATTTTTGACACCAATGAAGTAATATAAGTGTTTTACTCATAATATATAAATTAGTAACATATAATAATGATGAACGAGATTGATCTGGTGGTTTTCTTAAACCATAATATGGATTTTCAAGAAGAATTGAACCTATAGGATATTGATTAATTAATGGAACTACAGAAAATAACCTTCGTCGACTAAAACCATGATCACCTGTTCCAGTATAACAAATTCCTATTGGAATTGAATCAATACCAAAACGATGATCACGTGATAGAACAAGTTGAAAATGAGCTGTAGCTACTTGAGATGGAACCTATTTAAATAAATATAACAAAAGAAAAAAGATAATATTAATTAAATGGTTAAAATAATTTTAATTACTGACCAAATGTGGTAAATAATTGGCAAGTGATGAACGAAATCGAGCATTTATATAATTTTGATTACCTTTTTGTTTCTTATTTAATTATTTCAACAGTATTTTCCTGTACATTTTCAGCTGGTACAAGTTCTAAACACTCATCTCTTACACCAATTTTTTCACGTCGATAGGTAAAAATTTCTTGTAAATGAAATGGATTTCCCCAACCATGTACAAATGATTGAGTTAATATAAAACGTCGAAAGAGATTATCGAAATTCATCATTTCAATCGTACTCGAATCTTTAATATCATCTAGAGAATTGTTGATCTGATCTTCTTTTTCTTTAATCGAACAAAAAACAGGACAATGCAATGCTTTAGTATTCTCAATAGTTTATAAACACACACACACATGCAAAAAAAACTCTTATATGTTCTTTTTATTTTCCTAAATCAATCTCGTTAGTTTACTATGAAAACAAAAAACGATATTTTTATTGCACAGCACCAGTAATGTTAAGTAACATTTGAGGACCATGTGGTAAATAGACGCTATTTCTTGGTTTTGATAATTGATTTGCAATGCCTTCAGCGGCTTCAATTCGTCGAAGTTCGATCAAACCTAACATGAATATTAAAACAAAGTAAGACAAAATAATAAAAGATATTCGAAAATTTACCATCACCAGCTTCATCTAAAGCTTTGCCAATTAAATCAGCTGTACGAGCATCACCTTCTACTGCAATAACATTTGCTTGACGACTTTGTTCCGTCTGTTTTTTTTTATCAAAAAAAAAACAAACTCATACAAATTTTATTCTTATTGATTTACTTTTTCGACTAAAAATCGTTGTTTTTCAACATCTTGTTGTGCAACTTATTTTAATTCAACAGCACTTGTAAATTCAGGTCTAAAACTTAAATGTGTCTAGTTCAAAGAAAAAACTATATATAATCAACTCGAGACTCTTTTTTGTTGTATCTTACAATTGAAATATCATCAAGTAATAAACCAAATTGAGCAGCACGTTCTGTTAATAATTCACTAACACGTTGAGAAATAAGTGTACGTTGTGTAATCAATTCAAGAGCATCAAATTGAGACTTACGAGGGAACCTTTTCAACTGTCCAATCGCTTTTGAGTTCGAACTCA